TAACTCGAACATTCACACTACTATAGGATCTGTGAAACTTCATTTAAACTTGAGACCGGAAAGAGATAAAGGACGAGGTGTTGGAGATAATGGAAATTGTGAAAAGACGTCCAACGTATTCGTCACTGTGTTCGTTACGTAACTATGGAAAGTGTCAGAAGATGTAAAAACTTTTTAAATTACTTGTTTTTTGTACGAAGTATTTTACTGAAGAAATTTGTTTATCGCAAACTTATTAGAATAGGAAACAACTAATGAGTACATTGTGAAAATTTACTTTATTTTCCGAAACGTTAATCTGCTGTACGTCTTGTTAATTATTACTTTTTCCGAAGTGAACGTATTGTCAAACTTACACATATCGATTCAGGATATTGTCAAATTTTTGTTACTTGTAGCCCACCACTTGGTCCACTATTTATTGAAAAATCCCTTGGCTCCATATAAACCTCCCCTTTGGGATAACGACGCGATAAATATTGATCCATTATAGAGAAGCTCGGTGTTATCGACAACGTGCGTTAAAGTCACTTTGGGGGTAATAAATGTCTTCATAATATGTGAATCAAGGTTAAAAATTGCGCTTTTGTGCGATCACTTCATAATTTCTGTGCATACCACTTTTGTTTTTCGATACATTATTGATGTAAGTAAATTCCTTCTGTTTTCACTTCATTTTAATTAAATACGTAGAATATGAAGCAATTCAATTACTTACTATTTAAAGTCTTACTATTAAAAATCATAATAAGATGATTAAAAATCACTTCATTGTATCGTAAATCGAATGGTTATTTCATCAAGCATTGACAAAACACACATACATAAGGATATTAATTCTACTTTATGGTTTATGGCTGAACCAAATTTATGATTAAAATAGCAAGTAATTGTTGTGTAAAATGTACGATTTTACATTTGACGACACAGATAAATATGCGCTTGAAAGAATTTAGCATTAAATGGTGAATGAATCGGTTTTCCCGAATATTCTGCGCGAGCAGACCGTGTGTGTGTGAGTTCACGAGTATATGTTGCGTGGTAAAGTTATCCCCTTAGTAATGAAAGAGATGGCAGAGAACCGAGAGCATTCTCGTGTCCGATTGTTGTGCTCCCTCGACCAATCTCCTTCGACCACGGTCAATCTCCAGCTTGAGTTTGCTAAACGCATTTTTCGGTCACGATGCCTCCCCTGTTGCTTAATCTTAAAAGTAATATCACGCGTAACATATCTCGCTTACATGTCGTAAACATTATTTTTCTTCTGGCATAAAAAGAAACGAAGTTTTTCCGATATTTAGAGATAGCTCAAGTACTCTTTATTACATTTATCTTTATTACATTACTCTTTACTTACATTATGTATAGACCAGTACATAATACAAACACGAATGAACATATGAATGAGTTATTTTCGACACAAAATTTAGAGTGGACTTTTTGGAACATTTGTTTATATACTGTGTACGCAAGATTTTTTACAGTGTACATGTAGAAAATGTTATATCTAATTATATACATTTTTATAAAACTTTGAAAAGTACTAATACTTACGATTAGTAATATTAATATACTACAATTATATAAATTGATTAAATTTTTAAATTGAATCAGTTTATCTTATTAGAAAAGAAAAGAAAATAACAAATGCAAATTACTAACAGTGAATTTACCAACTTAGAGTTATGATTATTATTAAACTAACTCAAAGAAGAGAAAACAAGTTTAATCAAGTTTATCGAATTGCCATAAACCATTTCGTTACTGCAGTTTCAAGGTAATATCTGCTTCTCGCACATTCGACCTTCCACTGCTTGCATCTTCTTCCCGCTCAAGCTTCCGTTTGAGGCTCTGCCGTAAACCTACCCTTGGAGATTTGACTCCGCAGACTCCTCTAGAGAGCATTTCCACATTTTCTACTTTCAGCTACGGCTCCTGCATTCACACTCGTCGCGGCAAATCGAAATTCATAGGTATACCTTCGATTGAATTTTTTACCTTAAAGGGAATCGTAGCTAACTCGATCGATTCACCAACGTTCGTTTTTTTCATGTAGACGCCTTTTGATATATTCGCGAGACTTATTTGTACAAATAAAATACATCAATACTTCAAGTGATATCTAAAAATCGTGTGAAACAATGAACACTGTTGCATTATTACATAAAATGTGAGCTAAACTGAATTTAGCATATTGAATTTAGCTAACTGAACTGAACATATTGTGAGCTAAACTAAATTTTGCAAATATCTGCTAAGGTTAGAACAATCGAGATATATGTATTTCTGATACATCAAACTGTTTTCCAGTCGAACGTCATTCATTTCACTATAAACTGGATAATGAATGTGTTTAAGATATAGTTCTATAAGACTGTACTTTCGAGTAGAGAAGGTAAAGCGAAGTAAGGTTTCGTTATGGAGCGGTGGTCGCATTAACGGCTGTACAAGGTACAGAACTTTATACCTGCCGTGATAGAAGCTACTAAAAGCCGTATAAAACTCATGGTGACATGGTCCGTTATGAAGGGCAGTTATCGGCGAACAGGTCATTTAATTTGCGCTTCTGGCTTTCTTTTTACAGGCTGACGTTTTTCTCCTTGGACTTGTAAATAAAAGGCCTCAAAGTGTACGGCGCCGTGGAGAAGACGTTTCACCCGTTCGATCTGTGCAGCAGGTTAATTTCTTCAGATTTATTAGTGCTTTATTATTATTATTATCTCTTGTATTCTCTCTTGTATTTCAACTAGTATCTCACTTCAACTTGTATCAATTCTTGTATCTCTTGTATCTTTATCTTATTATTCTCTCTTGTATTTCAACAATAGTGCTAAATCATTCTTAAATCCGAAAAAATATATGAAAATATTATTACTACATCTTAAACTTATATTATTCTATTAACCATTACTTGCATTTTTAAAACTATTATTTTTATAAAACATAATCTTTCTAAAATACAACTATAATTAAATTTGATATCTTTTCTTTTATCCGAAATTCTTGTTATATATATTTTGCATTTTGTAAAGAAAGCCATATTTAAAAAATATTGTGTATTTTATCGCAAGCAGTTCATAACCATCAACAAAAACTGTTTAATTTTGCAGGTTCTCCCGCGTGTTCCAGCCCGGAACACTGGCCGGTATACAAGGTAAGTTATATAACATTGATTTTAATTTTAATCATCAATATCTCTTTTAGTTTTCAATTTTATATAGAAAAAATCCTATAAAAAGTGAAAAAATATATCGATCACATTTATTTTTATGAGTATTAAACAATTTCATTTTATTTAGTATTTTAGAATTTACATATACTGATTTGACCGATTTATGTGCGGAAAATTATGAAATTGCGTTAACAACATATGACATTTGGCAATCAGTCGATACGATGGCGATAAGAGCGCGTAGAGTAAAAGAATTATAGCGACAGACGCTTTTTCCTGCCAGATCTCGGTGTCCGCAGGTTAATTCGTGCTAATGCAGTGAATAGTCGAAAGCTCGAATGAAAATCTGACGGTAAACCTACCATTTCCTAGGTACGTACTCGCAGTAAACAGAGGATTGTATACAACCGCGTCGTACTAAGCCCATAGCTACTAAACCGCGCATACTACCTATAAATGGGCGGGCTGCTATAAAGTCCATTCATGATCGCGTCGCCTGTACAACAAACGTCGGGTGGCTCGCGCCTCCCGCGCGATTTATTACACTCGTATTCAAGCACGAGTTGTGCTTCCTACTTAGTACACGTGTACGCCGACACGATCGCGTTCAGAACCGTTTCATTGTCTGGCACGCCGATGACAGACCAATCGACCCCATTTTCATTCGCGTCACATTGAATCTCATTAAACGTATAAACGGACATATGTTTGGATCGTTTACCTCATATGACGCCAGACGGTGAGGAATTTCCCGCTTAAACTCGATAAAATTTCGCTGATTCGATTACGACTGTTTGTGATTGATTTTTTAATACGAGAAACACACGAAAGTTGAACTAAATGTATATGCATAATTTTTTTAAATTATTAGCGGATTTTTGTAACAATTTATATTAGTAACGGTATATGAGCAAAAAATTGTTCAATCGCCAAGTGGGATTCTGACAATTAAAAACAGTCAACGAGATACAAGTGTAATTTAAAATTTTATCGTGGAGAATCTTTGGAAAACTCGAAGGTTTGCTTGTCTGATTACTAATACATTACGTTCATTAGTATGTGAATCTCGCAATGGGGTAGCATACAACGCTGATGGACAGACAGATGGAAGGCGTGTGTGCTACCGGAGTTGTTGTCAGACCGTTTTACTTTACTGCCCATAAAAGTACCGAGATTTAGACTGCAATACTGCCATGACGTATTGCTCGCGCTGCGTGTACATGCACCTACACACTATCGAAGATGACGCCGGCTGCCACCAAGCGTGATCCATGAGGGCATTTCACCAAGCATGTGTGACATGTTGTGGAGAGATCGGCAAAAAAATTTCTGATATATCTCTGAGGAGTTAGATTATTGATGGCAATTGTTGATTATTGATTGATGATTGATCGTAATAAATTTGTTACTATAACAATAATGACACAGGAACTGAAATGGGCAAATAAAACTGCGTGAAGATGCTAAGAAAAATACATTTTTAATTAGACCTGCGAATAACAGAAATTGTGAAAAAGTGATTTAAATTACATTAAATATCAGATTTGTGTACGCAAACATTTGTTTCTCTTTTTATGAAACTCGATTTTCTTGAGAAATTTAATACATAATTTAATCATACATCATATCATATACATAATCACATCATACATATAGATGACTATCATATACATAATCACATCATATATAATGACAATCATATCATACTTAAATATATATACAATATACTTAAAATATACATAATCATATCATATACATCAATGTATAATTTAATCATATGTTTATTATATAAATCATATCATATTGAATTAAATTATATAGATATGTTCGAGAATTATAATCATTAATCGATTTTATGTTATTACGCGCTGTTTAAGATACTTCATAGTTAAATAAATTGCATTTTATATCATATGAAATACACACATATACATACAACATGTACGTACATGCGCACGAGCTGTGCTCTTTTTTTTAAACTTATATAAAAGACAACACCTTAAAACTACAAGAAACGAAGAAATATTTAAATTAATAAAGACCAGTAACTTTTAAATTTTAATAGAATAGATTTTTGCATACTTATATAAACTTTTATTATCTATAAAAGTAAGCAGTTACATATTATTGGAACACAAAATTGGTTATAATTCCAGAATAAGGTCAAATAGAATACATGTTCATATGATATTTTTTTATTGATTTATGTTCCCTGCTGCTGAAGTGGGTTCCACATGTTATGAAACACTCTATATACTTAACAATATCATATTTTATTGTAATTAATAAAAGATTGGTTTGCATTAAATTAAAAAGGAAAGTATATAAAAACACGTCAATTTAGTATCATGATATATCATGATAAAAAAAATGCTATTTCAACGCAAATACCATTCGTCTTCTATTGATTTGTGACTCACAAGTCGCTTTCGTCCTGCTTACGACGAGTTGAGTGTATCAAGGTATTTCCGAGAAAAAAGCGGCACCGAGATTCGGCGTTTTGCGATACTCTTCGAGAGCAAGAAGCAGTCTCCCCGTGTTAGTATGTTTGCGCTCGCTGGCTCGCGACGGCGGAGAAGGAAGGGAAACAGATTAGAGCGAGCGCGAAGGTAGGGGGAACGTGGAGGAACGTACGCGAGAGAGAAGCGGTCGCGTGAGAGAAGGGTGGGAGACAACGAGTCCGTCCGTTTGCTTGCCAAACGATCCCAAAGATCGCGCTAGCGTCGCTTTCAGCTCGTTCGGCTCCGAGCCACAGGCAGAGCTCTCAGTTGACGCTCAGTTCGGCTCAGTGAGGCCAGCGAGAAGAAAGGGGGTCTTTCTATGTGTGTGAGGGTCGTGCGTGTGTGTATCAACGTACGATTTTCGAGGCCGTAGACATCACTGTTCGCTGAAAACTCCCCATTGCGTTAAACCCATTGTCAAAGGGTGGCTCTACCTGATTTGACAGATCACGAAACGGGACTCCATAAACAAGGATTTTCACTCGAATCACAGGAACACACTTTCTCTCCGTGACAACTCCTGTGCTTTTCATAATCATATTTGTGACATCAGTGGATTCCGTGATTGGATAGGATACGACGGATACTAGTCGCACACCAACGGGACGCTTGATGAAGTGTCCCCGAGATCCCTTCGCAATGGGGATGACAGTAATTACAGGTGACGGAGACGGGGTGACACGCGGCTCGTGCGTAGTCGGCCGCGGGACGACAATAGCACAGTCAGCCGCACAGTGAATTACGTTTTCCCCGCCAAGAGATCGACGATTGCCAAGTATCCTGCCTCCTAAATGGTTTAAACGCGCGCGCTACTTTTAACGTCCCATTCTGGATACTAAGCCCGCGCGAAGTGATCAACCGACTGTTCATAAAGATTCGATATTTTTACGGTCTGATGTATGATACACACTCTGTCTAAATCGCGCTGTGTTACTTTGTTTTCGTTCCAATCCTCATCCGACATCGTTGGACCGATTGATTATTGGACAACCGTACATAATATCTGCACAATCTATTAACGGACTACATCCGTGACGTTTGCACGTGGCACGCTCGCTGTCACATTGATCATCTCGTCTGCTGCCGTCAACATCGTCGTGGGATCATTCGGTGTCATCGTCGCGCGTGGACCTTTCCTCGACGGATTTGTCACGCACTTTATCGCGCCCCTGTGCTATCCTCTGTGTTGCCTGTGCCTCCTTACTTCTCTGTCCCTCGTTCACCTACCCCTCCACCTGTCTGTGTGGCGCTGCACACCCTCTCCCCCGCCACCAACCCCTCATCGGACGCGCGCGTATTCGCACAATTTTCTCTATCCCCACCCTCTCTTCCCCCTGCTCCTCGCGCCTTCACTACTTTCTGCATTCGTTTTCTTTATCAACCCCGTGAATTCACGGATCAACACGGCTCGGCGACGATGAGCTTGCCGCCTCTCACTACCTGGTGAAAACTTAACTGCTCCACCACGTGCACATTTTATCATACTTATTGTCGTGAAATTTGTGACCTGCATTCAATCGGAATTCCGAACATTGGGCAAATCGTGGAAAACATTGTTCCAATCTGGATCTCATCTATGTTTATGTTATGATCGGGACGACTACGCGACGACCTCCATACTTCGAGTGAATTTCGGTCGACTTGTGCACGGATCGACTGTGATTGTTACTGAACGATTATCACGGGACCGCGATCCGTGCCGATTGATCGCGGCACCAATATCGTTAAAACACCGGTAATCAACCGTCATCATCTGCACCATCGCCGATCACGTGGCTTGCTCGACGGCGACGCTGTACGATAATGTTCACGCCGCGCCTCTATGTGGCTCCGGCGTGGGCCACCCTGGCTCCGTCACGCCGATGGGGACAGCAACCGGAGCGGGGAATTCCACCGGGGTGACCTGGTGGGCCATGATGAACGGTTCCCTCTACGAAGACAGCCCGCCGCCAGTTCCACCGACAGCCTCGACGCTCGTATCAATTCAACAGCAGGCGACCTCGACACCGGGTTCCCATCAACAGGCCACAACACCAACTTCACCCGGTGCACCGGTATCATCGGCAACGACAGCGCCACCCGCGCCTACCGCGAGCGCCAGTTCGACCTCGCCGAGCGCTTCCTCGGTAGCGAGCAACAGCACGGCTGGACCGCTCCATATACCTGCCAAGCGATTAACCGCGACTCCAGGAGGCGGTGGTTCCACTTACGGGGAAGTCACTTGCGTAGAGTCCTCAGGTGGACCTGGTGGTGCGAGCGCGGCGGGCGTGATACGACACTCTCACTCGTCCTCGGCGGGTTCTCAGGGCGGCTGGAGTTATAGTCCGCATCATCATCCCCAGGACTCCCATTATTCGTCCACGGCGGGCGAATCGTTGAACCATCATCAAACTTACGGGGGTAATAATCCCCCTACGTACTACAACCTGGCGGCCGATCCTGCTTCGACCTCCGGTTCCTCTAGGGACAACCGGAAGGCTGGGGCTACCCTTAGTTTCTGGTCGCCCGCAGCCGCTACTGCTGGATCAGCCGGTACTGCCGGCTCTACCTCGGATTACAAGTCGTACAATTCGGCCGGTGTGGCGACGACGACGTCGTCTACCGGTGGGTCTACCTCCGGTGCAACTGGCGCAACCGATCCAGCCGTGTCGTCCTGCCATCAAAGCTTTTCCCAGAGCTGGTGCAATTACGCACCATATACGACGGCGAGGCACCACCATCCGGTCGACACGGCCGGGCATCACCATCCTCATTCGCAGACGGGGGTACCGTATCTGACACCATCCGCAGCGGACGACCGGGGTAGGGTCGCTGCTGCTATGGTTGCTGCGGAAGGTGCCTTTCCCCACGATGGATACGGCGGCCTGAGAAACTACGGAGCGCCCGAGCCTGTTACCTCCAGTCCTTACCCACCTCCAGGTAAGCATCTACTCCGTTTTATTCATTGAACTGTTTCCTTTCTCTCTCTTTGTAGCTTATATATATATATATATATATATATATATATATATATATATATATATATATAT